AGTAAACAGTTCTTCCCTTAATTACAGCTGATTGTATCCTGATGGACACATCGGCTCTTTCAGTAGCAAAGTTGTTCACAGTGGAGCCAAAAAAGCTTCTTGATTATTTGTTATGGTTTGAGAAGACAGTGGCTCCACTGGGGCTCAGAAGACAATACCCCAAAGTATTGGCGCTTTGGCATGTTGAGTACGTGGGTTGAAGGAAACTGGCAGTCCTCAGAAGTAGCCTCAAAAGCAAAGTCTCTCTCTGACCATCTCCTGCCCTTCTTTCTCTTCCAAAGAGAGTCATAGACCAGAATTCCTCTCCCCAAAGTGGGTCACAGACATCAGAATACTTCTTCCAAAACCGGCCATACAACCTAGAAATATTACTCTAACCTTCCCCTGCTTTTCTGTATATCAGCTGGCCACGAAGAAATTCTCTGACCTATCTTTTTTTATTTTTTGAGGGTTCAGATTCTTACTCTGTCACCCAGGCTGGAGTGCAGTGGCACGCTCATGGCCACTGCAGCCTTGACCTGCTGGGCTCAGGTGATCCTTCCACCCCAGCCTTCCAAGTAGCCGGAACTACAGGCATACACCACACACCCAGCTATTTTTTTTTTTTTTACTAATAGTAGAAATCCTCTTGCCGCAGCCTCCCAAATTGCTGGGATTACAGGCGTGAGCTACTGCATCCGGTTTGACCTATCTTATCTAATCGTAGTCATAGGACCCTCGTTCCAGAAGGGTTCTGCCTCATGCCAGGGAGGAAGGAACACAGAGAGGTTAGGAAGAATCTGAACAGGCAGGTCTTGCTGGGTTCCCCCCTCAGTCTATGATCATTAGATCATAGCCTTTTGTTCGGCCACATTTCTATACGCTATCTGTTCTTCATTGAGCATATGCATAAAATGCTGCTTGAGATGCCAGGAGAGAGATGCCAAAGGGAAGAAAGTGGCCCTGTCCCTGCAGTCGTGAAGCAGGAGGCCAAGAAAATGGTAATTCTCCTGGTTGAAAAAAGACCTAAGAATTTTGGCACAGGGCAGGACATCTAGCCCCAAAGGGATCTCACCCGCTTTGTCAAACGGCCTTCGATTGTAGCGGCAACAAGCTATATCAGCAGCTGAAGGTGTCTCCTGTGATCAGCCACCGGTCGATCAGGCCAAGTTCACTCGGGCCTGTACCACCAAGCAGCTCTCAGCTGGTCATGCTGGCCGACAAGTACAGCCCAGAGGCAGAGCAAGAGAAGCAGAGACTGTTCACCTAGGCTGAGAAGAAGGCTGCCAGCAAAGGGGATACCCCCACTAAGAAACCATTGGTCCTTTTAACAGAGGTTAATACTGTCTCCCCTGGTGGGACCAAGAAGCTTCAGCTGGTGGTGACTGCACATGACATAATCCTATTCAGCTAGTTGTTTGTCTTTCTGCCTGTCCAGTGTCATAAGATGGGGGTTCCTCCCTGCATTGTCCAGGGGAAGGCAAAACTGGGGTGTCCAGTCCACAGGACGACCTGCACCACTGTTGCCTCTACACGGGTTAACTCGGAAGACAAAGCAGCTTTTGCTAAGCTGGTGGTAGCTGTGAGGACCAATTACAATGATGCTTAGGATGACCTCTGCTGTTGCCGGGGAGGCCATGTTCTGGGCCCAAAATCTGTGGCTCTTGTTGCCAAGCTAGAAAAGGTATGGGCTAAAGAAACTGCCACTAAACTGGGTTAAATGTGCACTGTTAAATTTTCTGTACATAAAAATAATAAAAATTGGCCAGTCTCAGTGGCTCAGCCTGTAATCCCAGCACTTTGGGAGGCTGAGGTGAGTGGATTGCCTGAGCCCACGAGTTCAAGATTAGCGCGGGCAACTTGGCGAGAACTTGTCTCTAAAATAAAAAAAAAAAAAAAATTAGCCGGGCATGATAACACGCACCTGTAGTTGCGGCTACTGAGAAGGCTGAAGCAGAAGGATAGCCAGAGCCCAGCAGGTCAAGGGTGGGGTGGTTGTGAGTGTGCCTCCAGCCTGGGTAACAGAGACTCCAACTCCAAAAAAATAAAAAATAAAAATTCTCCCAGAAAGAAAGAAAGGGAGGAAGGAAGAAAGGAAAGAGGAGGGAACGAAGGAAGAAAGAAGCTGGGTGCGGTGGCTCATGCCGGTCATTCCAGTACTTTGGGGGGCTGAGGTGAGAGGAGTGCCTGAGCCCATGGGTTCAAGACCAGCCTGGGCAACTTGGCAAGACCTTATCTCTACAGTAAATCAAAAAAATTAGCTGGGTGTTGTGGCGCAGACATGTAGCCCACTGGCTTGCTCACGGTTACTGCAGCCTCAACCTCCTAGGCTCAGGCTGTCCTTCTGCCTCAGCCTTTCAAGTAGCTGGAACTACAGGCATCAACAAAATTTAGCCAGGTGTGGTGGCACGTGCCTGTGGTTCCATCTACTTGGAAGGCTGAGGCAGAAGGATCACCTGAGCCCAGCAGGTCGAGGCTGCAGTGGCTGTGGGTGTACCACTGCACTCCAGCCTGAGTGACAGAGTGAGACTCCGACTCAGAAAGAAAAAAAAAAAGTGCTCACTAAATCTGTTGATGTGAGGGAGCCAGTGAGTATGTGTATGAGTGGGTAAGAGATTGGACTGGGAATCTCTGACTTCAGTACATTTCAGCACCTGAAACTGGCAATGGGGTTTTCTGTGTCAGGGTCTCCTGAGAACGGGGTGTAAAGACAGCCTTGCTCTTCATGCCCTATAGGCGGTTTCCTGGGGTTCCCAAGCCATTGAGGAGCCAGTGATGCGAAATGGTCAGGACTTGGGATTAATGTGAATTTGACCCTGGGCCATGACCCCCGGAACCCCAGTACAGTTTGGATATTTGTCCTCTCCAAATCTCATGTTGAAATTTGATCCCCAATGTTGGAGGCAGGGCCTCATGGGAGTTGTTGGGTCATGGGGGTGGCTCCCTCATGATGGCTTGTCCTTCCCACAGTAACTCTTCAGGAGAACTGATTGTTACAAAGAGACCTGGCACCTCCTCTCTCTCTTTCTCTTCCTCTCTGCCATGTGACACGCCTGCTTCCCTTCATCTTCCTGAAAGCTTCCCAAGGCTCTCACCAGAGCAGATGCTGGTGTCATGCTTCTTATACAGCTTGCAGCACCGTGAGCTGAATAAACCTTTTTTTTTTTTGAGTAGGAGTCTCACTCTGTCGCCCAGGCTGGAATACAGTGGCACGCTCACGGCCACCGCAGCCTCGACCTGCTGGGCTCTGGCGATCCTTCCGCCTCAGCCTTCCAAGTAACTGGGAACTACAGGCATGTGCCACAACGCCTGGCTAATTTTTTGATTTATTGTAGAGACGAGGTCTTGGCAGGTTGCCCAGGCTGGTCTCAAACCCCTGAGCTCAGGTAATCCTCTCGCTTCCGCCTCCCAAAAGTGCTGGGATTACAGGTGTGAGCCACTGCACCCGGTCATCAACATATTTTCTTTCTTTATGAATTGCCCAGCCTTGGGTATTCATTCCTTTATAGCAGTACAAAAAGGACTATCGCATCCCCTCAGATGATGGCTACTAAATCTTCTAGAAGCAGATAGCTGGCCAAATAGCATGTGTGCACATGTAAGCATTGGGTGGGAAAGTATGGAACAGGGCGTACACCAGGAACACTGAGCCCCTGCCCCGGCTTGGATCATAGACTGCTACAAAGCAAGAACTCAGTGCTGGTCCTCAGGACCTTTCCCTGATGCACTTGTAATTAAGAAAGGAGTGATTACATGATGATTAAAAATTAGGAACATTTCATTACTCCTGGATCTATTTATGTATGCTAGGCAACAGATTTTTAAATAGCTGGAAGGCCGAGGTGAGTGAATTGCCTGAGCCCACGGGTTCGAGACCCGCCTGGGCAACGTGGTGAGACCTCATCTCTACAACAAATCAAACAATTAGCCAGGCGTGGTAGCATGCGCCTGTAGTTCCAGGTACTTGGAAGGCCGAGGCGGAAGGACCGCCGGAGCCCAGCAGGTCGAGGCTGCGGTGGCTGGGAGCGGCCATTGCAC